CCCGGAGGTGGCCTGGACTTCCGCAGGCGCAGGGGGAGCCGAGGCTCCTCTGACGAGCAGCCGCGGCAGAGCGGTTTCTCGCGGAGCGCGGACACCCCGGAAACACGAGGCTTGCGGGGACAGGGAGGCCCGGCGGGGTCTCTGGCAGGCCCCGCGGGGGTCCAGGGATGAGGAAGCGGTGGAGAGGCAGGGGCACCAGCCGGGGGGCAGGGGCAGATGCCACTTGTCACGTGGTTGGTAGGTCTCGCTCAGACACTGAGACTGACCCCAGGGTGCTTGTTTCCTGGGTGAACTTGAATAGAGGCTGACTCGGCCTTGAAATGCTGTTGCCTTAAGGCTACCAGGGTATTCCCAGGAAAGGGACTGCGTACGGAAGGCCAGGTTTTAGAACTCTTAGGAATCGCCACACTGTTTTCCCCCGAGGCTGTGCTAGTGGACACTCCCACCAAGAGTGTGGAAGTGTTCCCTTTTCACCACGGCCTCCCCAGCATCCGTTGTTTTTTGAGTTATTGATGATGGCCATGCTGACGGGAGGTAGGTGGCATCTCAGTGTGGTTTTAAGTTGCATTTCTTTGACGACTAGTGAGGCTGAGCATTTTTTCAGATATCTGTTGGCTGCTGGTTTGTCTTCTTTGGAGAACTGTCTGTTCGTATCTTTTGCCCACTTTGTAAGGGGGCTGTCTGCTTTTTTCTTTCCAGCACGTTTGAGTTCCTTGTAGATCCTAGATGTTCGGCCTTTGTCAGACATAGTGTTGGCAAATATTTTTTCCCAGTCTGTGGGCTTTCTCCCTGCTCTCTTGATGGTTTCTTTGACTTTGCAGAAGCTTGTCAGTTTGATGAGGCCCCACTTGTCTATCTTATCTCTTATGGCCTGGGCTCTTGGGGTTTTGATCAGGAATTGGTTGCCAGGTCCAAGTTCCATAAGCGTGGCTCCTGCATCTTCAAAGGTTCTTATAGTTTGAGGTTTTACATTTAGGTCTCTGATCCATTTAGAGTTGATTTCTGAGTATGGGGATAAGTAGGGGTCTTGTTTTAGTCTCCTGCATGTGGTCAGGCAGTTTTCCGAGCACCGTTTACTGAATAGGTTCTCCTCTCCCCAGTGGTTGGTGGTGGAGGCTTTGTCAAAGATGAGTTGGTTGAGAAATTGAGGTTTTGCTTCTGGAATCTCAATTCTGTTCCATTGGTCTACATGCCTGTTCTTGTACCAATACCAGGCAGTTTTGGTTATTGTAGCTTTATAATAAAGCTTAAAGTCTGGGAATGTGATACCTCCTGCTTTTTTTTTTTTTTTTGCTTAGGATTGTTTTGACTATTCGTGGTTTAGCCAGACCTTTACCAGTGCAAGGAGGTTCTTGACAGATTCTCTTGGGTTTTCGAGGTGTAGAATCATGTTGTCTGCAAAGAGGGATAGATTGACTCCTATTTGGATCCCCCTGATCTCCTTCTTGTGTCTGATTGCTCTAGCTAGGACTTCCAAAACTATGTTGAACAGGAGGGGTGAGAGTGGGCATCCTTGTCGTGTTCCAGTTTTCAGGGTAAATGGTTCCAATTTCTGCCTGTTTAGCAGTATGCTGGCTGTAGGTTTCTCAAATCACTCTATTAAAAAGATACCTGCACACGTATGATTATCTCAACATTGTTCACAATAGCAAGAACATGGAACCAACCGTGCTGCCCATCAAAAGAGGATTGGATAAAAAAAAAGTGGCACATGATGAAATACTATGCAGTCAAAAAGAAGAGCAAAACGATGAACTTCACAGCAACCCTGAAGGACTCAGAGTCTATCATACTGAGTGATCTTTCACAGGAACAAAGAACTGAGCATCACATGCTCTCACTCATAAGTGGACTTGAACAACTATTGTAATACTATAAAAAAGGATTGACAGTAGCGGGAAACTGCGGAGAGTGGGGCGGTGGGATTGGCAGTACTGGGAATCTGCCTGGGGAAGGGGGCCACCCTCATCAACAAGGGTGCCTGCATAATGAATGTTTATAGACCTAACCCTGAATTGTACCCCACATCTTTAGAATAAAAAGTGTAGAAGTTAAAAAAGAAAAAGCTACAAGGCATAACTCCAGCAGGGCGAATCCATATCTAATATTTATTTTTCCTATGTTTTCATAGTTATGTCTGTGGAAAAAGAAAATGTTTCCATGTTGGCATTAACATTTATCGAGCATCTTTTCTGTTCTGTCCTCTATGCTGGGCTTTAAACGTATTATCTGAAAAATACTTGTGAATATTTTTCAGATAATGATCACTATGTAGTAAGCATCTACTCTGCACCATAATGGCTGGTTTATATATATTATTTAACTTAAGCCGGCATAAAGTTCATACCATTTTTTCCATTGCATAGAAAGCAATAGAAATAATGAGGTAGCCATCATTTAAATATAGTAATAATAGCTATCATATACTGAAAAATCACTCTCCATGCAATTAGACAACTCTATGAAACAGGTACTGCTGCTTTATACCCATTTCACACATGAGGCATTTGGTTAAGGGATATTTATAAGTGCTCAAAATTACACAGTGAATGTGTATTAAAATTCAATCCACTGGAATTCAGTGTCTACCAATTTAACCCTGCGTTTTTCCTCACAGCATAGCAAAGTTAAGAGTCAGAAAAGTTTCATAACCTATCTAAGATCACACAGTTAAAAAGAAGAGACTCGATTAGAAACCAAGTGCCAGAGTTTTGTTTGTTTTTTATTCCTTTTTTTTTTCTTCAAAGCCCATGTTGTTTCCACTTCATCGCCAAGCTGGCTGTCTTAAGAAGTATTTTTTTGGCAGTGAGATTCTACCATAAGGTCCACAATACAAACTCCTAATTATTAACACCCACTGAGTTCTTCTTATGGAGACAACATGAGAACGGTCATTCTTGGGCCAGAAGACTTTGCCTTTGAGGCACACTCAGAGGTTGAGGAGGGTGTTTCAAGGTCAAACAACAAAACTCTGGAAGGCGTTATGAACAGTGAAAATCAAATTGACACTTTCAGCTTAGGCAGAGGTAATATAGCTTGAAATGTTTTTTCAAATCCAAATTTCACTGACAGGACATAAAAACGAAATCCTGCTTTCTCTAAGAAATGCCACTTCCTAAGTCTGCTAAATAATTGCATGTCCACCGAATTTGATCCATACTGTGGTGCGTTTTCAAATGAGCTGCTCCAGACACATAAGCACAAGTTCACCGTGATGGCAAAACATGTGATCTGTGCTCGCATGTATTAGTATGCTCATAGTCATCAGCTTCTAGCCCATGTGAATGTCTTTAAAGACGTTCTGAAATGGGACTCTTAAACCAAAGCAGGTTTACTTACATCCCATATCACTTACACGTTTTGTTTTGCACGAATCCATACGTCATCTATACTTTGTAAAGGCTTATTCTGAAATTTTATTAATTATTCACATCTCTTATAAATCTGGTGAGTATGTTTTTAATGTAGCGGGTATTCCTTTATCAGTTTCCTTTCAACCTTTTCATTTTATTATCTGTGATGAGTTGTAAGAAGTAATTTTTTTTTTGTTTTTGAGTCGGAGTCTCACTCTGTCTCCCAGACTGGAGTGCAGCGGCCACTCCCAGCCACCGCAGCCTCGGCCTGCTGGGCTCCAGCGATCGTTCCGCCTCAGCCTTCCAAGTAGCCGGAATTACAGGCATGCGCCACCACGCCCGGCTGATTTTTTGATTTATTGTAGAGATGAGGTCTCGTTGCCCAGACGGGTCTTGAACCCGCGGGCTCAGGCAATCCACTCACCTCAGCCTCCCAAAGGCGCGGGATTACAGGCTGAGCCACCGAGCCCGGCGGTAAGAAGTAATTTTATGTCGAACACATAAGCCAGGTTCCCACCCAATCAGAAAGTGAAAACAATACTAAACTCTCAAGTTCTAAGCAAAGTTGATTTGAATGCATGTAGGCCGATTCAATCCGGGATAGAGTCAAATGTGAAATATAATTTTTAGATATGTTATCAGAATGCTAGATTCCTATCAGGATTTCTGAATGTATATTGTTATGGTTTAGGATAAAAACATAGTCTCTCAGTCTCTCTCTCTCTCTCTCTCTCTCACACACACACACACACACACACACACACACACACACACAGCTTCTTACTAGCTGTGTTACTTTTAATCTACTTCCCATGTGCTTATGGGCAACCACTTACACAAAATTATCTAGAGCAAATGTAACTTAAAATATTTGAATCATATGTATATACTTACATTTCTTACTAAATTATAAGATCCTGAAGGATAAAGATCAACATCTTAAGCAACTTTGAATCCTACATGGTATCTAGTATGATGGTTTGTACACAGTAGGTTTTGAAAATATATGTTAAATAAGTGGATAGTAGTCTATCATTTGGGATCACATTTGGCTGCATAGAATAGAGAATCCCCAAATAACAGTGGCTTAAACAAGATAGCAGCATATATCTTCCTTCTGTTAAAAATGATTATACAGGTAGACCATCTAAGACTGGTATCGCAGCTTCACAATGGCTGACATCTTCTGTCTTTGTGTCCCGTCATTTCAGTGCACTGCCTTAAGGACCGAAGTAGTTGCCTGAACTCCAGCCATCACATCTGTAATCCAGGAAGCAGGAAGAAAGAAGGGGTAAAAATATCACGGCCGCTCCTTCTAAGCAGACTTTCAGCCATCTATCATCATCAATCTTCATCATTAGTCACGTAGCCACATCTAATGACAGGAGAAGCTAATAAACATAGTCTTACAGCTAGATGTCTTGGTGTCTCAAATAAAATTTAATTGCTAAATTAATAAAAACCACTAAGAATAAATATTAAGGAAGGCATATTACAGTCTGTCATAGTACCTACTAAAGTTGAAAAAACCCATTTCTAATCAGACATTTGGGACTAGATTTCAAATTTTAATATTAATTTTAACTTTTAGGTTTTTTTCAGTTTATTGTCTTTCATCAACAACTTATTGACCACATGATGTATGTCAAGCACTCTTCCTTTGAGAAAGTTAAGACCCTTCCTTCCTTTGAGGAACTTATAATAGAACATTTTGTATTTACAGTGATAGAAAACCTATCCAAACTGAGATTTGTTGCTTCTAATCTATGTGCTTTAACTGACACAGAGATTGGTACCAGTTTCCCTTCTTTGCTTTAGAGATAGATAGATAGATAGATAGATAGATAGATAGAAAGAGAGAAAGAAAGAGAGAAAGAAAGAAAGAAAGAAAGAAAGAAAGAAAGAGAAAGAAAGAAGTACACGAATGATAGATGGATAGATGCATAGATGAATAGATGACTGATAGGCACATACATACATAGATGACAGATAAGGTAGATGACTAGATGACAGATAATAGAGAGACACATGATACACATATAAGATAAATGGGTAGATGATAGGTAACAGATGATAGATCAGCTAGCGACATACATAGCCGATCGATAAGCTTGGTAGACGATAGATGGATGGATCTTTAAAAGCACATGATTGTGATGTACGAAGCACCGTTCGAAGTGCTCGATACGTATCAGCTCACTTAAACTCACAGCAGCTCTGTGGAGTGGGCACTGTGACTGCCACCTTCCACCTGAGGAGGCAGACACAGAGAGATTAGCCCGTGAGGAAGCTGGGCTTGACTTCGGAGTGTCTGGCTCCAGAGTTCTCCTTCGTAAGCACCGTGCTCTGATGCGTCTCATAAAGAATGCTTTCTAAGAAACTTATCTCTCAGAGAAAAACCGAAGACTCATATATAATAACTTAGCTATAGATATTAAAATACAATTTAAACGTCACTTATTCCAGTCTCTGTTTTTCTCTATTGACCTTTTTACACACTTTAAAAATCAACTTGGTTCTTTTGGGTCTCGTCGTTATGCTTGCCTAACCCTTGATGCCGCTTGTCCTGACTCAGCGTAATTCTCTCTCTCTTCCTAATGTTGACATTGACCCCCATTTCGTGGGAGCCCCACGCCGACTCCTTTGTGTCTTTGACACTGTCTCTGGCACCACTGGCTCATACGTGCCTCTGACGACCAGAGGATATTCCAGACCCAGCCTGAGTTTTCCCACCACAGGTGTCTGGGGAGTCCCAGTTCCTTTTGGTGACAGAAGCGTGAGATCAAAATTTAGGTATTCTGAGTAGATATGGGAGTTGACGGTAGGAGAAAGCATGACTGCTGCCGGTGGGACACTTTTGGTGCTGATGGAGCTGGAAAATGTGTCCTTCTCAATGACAAGAGTTCACACTTATTTCCCAGTTGCACTGGTTATATCTGTGCATACTGCTCCTCTTATAGTCTGTCTCATCAGGTTTCAAGACTTTCTGTTTTAATGGCAATAGAAAGAGAAATTTAAATGTAAAAGAAACCACCAACAAAACAGCGTTGCTCCCCTGTCATAGTCTTAAAGATCAAAACTATCAGTGATGCACTATATGAGTAAGGGTGAGAAGAAGCAGCCACTCACAATTGTCGCCGGTTTAAATTGGTGTAACACTTGCAAAAGACAGTTGCCATTCTCCAGTAAAAGTTTGAAAGTCAGCCGGGCTCGGTGGCTCAGCCTGTCATCCCACGCCTTTGGGAGGCTGAGGTGAGTGGATGGCCAGAGCCCGCGGGTTTGAGACCCGCCTGGGCGGCGAGACCTCATCTCTACAATAAGTCAAAAAATCAGCCGGGCGTGGTAGCGCATGCCTG